CCGACGGTATGACGCTCATTCCGTGGAAAAACGGGCGGTCACTCGTGTGGGATGCCACATGCGTGGATACTGTTGCTCCATCCCACGTGAGAGCGACCGCTCGTAAAGCCGGCGCAGCTGCGGCGACAGCCGAAATCAATAAAAGGCGTAAATATGCGGCGTTGGCAGATCCGTATATATTTGCGCCTTTTGCCGTGGAGACCTTGGGGCCTTGGGGTGCGGAAGCCCGTCGCCTGTTTAAGGAGATTTCCGCACGCCTCATCGACGCCTCAGGGGATCCAAGGGCTGGCGCGCATTTCGGCCAAAGGTTGAGCCTGGCCATCCAACGGGGAAATGCCGCCAGCCTCTTGGGAACCCTACCGTGCGACCGCAGCGATTTGGGGTCGATTTTTTATATTATTTAGTTTTATTTTTAGTTTGGTTTAGTTTTAGTATATAGTTTATAGTATTATTTTGGTAGTTTAATTAATTAGTTTTATTAAATAATTTATACATTAAGAATAAGATTAATATCTTAAATGTTTTATTACTGGTAATAAATACACTTTAAAACAATATGTTTAAAATTAAAAAGTACTTATAACTTAAAAATATTAACTTAAAATAAATACATTTTAAAGAATTTTTTTGATTGCGCGGCGAATACATTTTACTAAAAAAAAAAACTAATTTGACAGCTACAATTAATCGATATAACATCGATTTTGAAAATAAATTAATACTCTATAGTCATAGTGTTCATGTGACATTCCTAATTTTGACATTGACAGCTGTCAAAATGACCTTTTCTTTGGCGATAACCAAAATTGAAAATGATATTTTTTCTAAATTTACAATTTTTTGAATTCATAAAGATGCTTCGAGAAAATTTAATTTAACACAATTTTGAACACTTTTGTTCATATCGGAGATGTTAATGTGGGAAGATAAAAAAATGAACAGTACTGTAAACTGGCAGTATCGTGTTACGGAATGAATTGCTTTTATAATTTATATTGTTGTTTGAAATACATATTTAATTATGTAAAAGCACCAAGAATTATTTATAATTTTGTGAAAAAGGTGTACATTAACAAAGTACTAAAAAGTGGCAAATTTTAATTTTCAGAAAGTTTTCATTTTAGTCAGACTATAATAATCAAAATAAATACCTAAACTAGATATTTCTGTGCACAATGATTCTAGTAATTCTAGATTAAACTAGAAATTGAATACCTTTCGTTTACTTATGCATCTAAATTATTTATACAATAGTTGTCATAAATATATACATTTTTAAGTCAATTTTTCAGTCTATTTCAGCATGCAATATTTTGCAGGATTTTTCTTTTTGGTTTATTTTGAGCTATATTTTTTAGTTTGAATTCAAACATTTATATATTTGTGATTGTATATTGTAATATATATCAAAAACTAATATTTGCGGCTCGGTTATTTAATAATCAGCTTTATTTGTTATGACTTAGGAGTTGAATTTGCTTTTGCGATGTTTTTATAACTAAAAGCATGATTATATTAATATAAATAAGTGAAAAAAGGGCATTTTTTTCTGTAATATATAATGTGCTTAATGTAATACTATATTTTGGAAAAATTCTTTAATTTAAAACATTTCTGTGAAATAAAAATAAAAAAATCCATAAATAAATTGCATGCTAAATTAAAAAAGCTAACATTTTAGTAATAAAAAATACTAAAATCAAGAAAAAAAAATAATTGCACTAAAAATTAAAAATACTAAAAAGTATTTGCCCAACATCGAGGCATAAATAAATACATGTGACTTAAAATCCATAAAGATTCAAATTTGTGATTCAATTGTAAAGGAAATAAAAACATATTGCCATCTCTTTCATTCTCAAACCAAAAGACAGAGATAAAAAAATATTTTATTACCTTTAGCGGAATTCACGAAAAGAGTACGATATACCTGAAGCTTGTGACGTCACCGGCGTGCTATCCGTCTCGCTCGCTCTCACCACACCTGTATATCGCCGTCTCACTCGTCGTACGGTGGCTCGGTACCAAAGTATCGGTCACCAAAGTTGCCGATACCCGGCAGTACGTAGAACTTTTCATTAATCTCAGGATCCAACGCTGATGTTACGATTTTTACCTAATTTAATGATAAAAATAAGCAATTTTCAGTATTTTTTTATTTCTAAAGCTTATGTACCAATTCTGTTACAAATATAAATATTATTTTAGTTAAAATGTAATATGAAAGAGAAAGCGGTGTTTGTCTGACCTGTGGGAAGGCGTATGCTATAGAATGGACTCCGATCTCCGCCATGAGGAGTGAGACGAGGCTGATGTTGTGTTCGGGCACGTCGTGGTCCAGCAGGACGCGGATGGCCATGATGGCGGCCGCTCCGGTCGCCACGGTCGCGTCCATCAGGATCACGCGGTAATCCTTTATGTCCTTCGGCAGCCGCAAATAGTACAGCTACAACAAAATGTAACAAATCTCACTCTTAAACCTTTTTCTTTATAAAAGACTTATGTACTCTGTTATGTACTATTTATTTATATATCTCTATCAACTGTTATTTTTCATAATCCATTAATATATTTTTCAATATAATTTGAATCCAAAAAACATTAAAAATGGAATAGCAATAGTTTAGAAGTTTGTATGTATTGGACCTAAAACGCAGCCCTGGGGAATCCTCATCAATACATTTTATAAAACTTATAATTGAGTTAGAATATATAAATATTTAACTATTAACATTATTATAATACATAATTATAAATAATCTTAATCAATAATATTCAAATTAAATACGTCAGAATTTCATTTAAGGATGATTAACTATATCAAACGCTTGAGATAAATCTACGAACAATAAAAACGTATTAAAACTTCAAAGAACTGACATCTTGTTAATATTATAAATTATTCGCATTTTAAATGGATGGATTGATGGATGTTAGAAGCTATCTCCGGAACGGCTGCATGGATCTCGGTGAAATTCATCATTTATATAGAATCTAGTCTGTATGAAGACATAGTGTACAAATGTAGGTGACGTGCAGACCTCGGGCTCGTCAGTCTGCTGGTTGGTCTGTATGAGGATCTTGCCGATGCGGATGTCTTTGCAGACGTCGCACACGGCCTGCTCCATGGTCTCGCCGGCGCGCAGGATGGACACGCCGCAGATCTTCTCCACGTCACATTTGCGACCTTAAACACAACGCCGTACAGTTCACATTCATTTATACACCTTTATATAGAAATACAAAGTAATCGAGCAGGTGTTTTTGTTGTTTACCTTGGTATATGAATCCCTGCGGCGTGTCGACGTGCAGATGCGAGTAGGGCAGCAGGGAGAGCGCGAACTCTATCACGAGCCGCATCAGACGCTTCGAGTAGAAGATGAACTCGTCCCGCGACGTGTCCTTGTTGCGGATGAACGTGTGCAGACCTTGCACCTGACACACCACATACACACACACACACAAACACTTTGTACCACCATCTTCTCCTTACCCTTCCTACCCTTTTCTAAAGGGTCGGGAAAAGGAGTGGACACATAGTATCTGCGCATCCTATCCTCCATTCATTAAAGGTAAGCAACGGTATCTGCTATTGCAAATGTCTATGGGCAGCGATCCCTTCGCTATTTCGGCGAATTAAGGTGGATGGATTATAATATGAAATGTAATACATGTGTGGTCGTACTTGCGGCGTGTCCTTCAGCACGTAGAGGGAGTCAGGCAGCGGCTGACCGATGTGCGCCACCGCCAGCTTCTCCCGCACCTTGAACCCGCGCTGCACACATATACACTACTTTAATACATTCATGTATCATTCATTCTTCTACATAACACTTATTAGTATTAAGAGTGTTGTGTAAAATGCGTGACTGTGTGTAAGAGCACGTGACTATGTGTACGAGCACATGTGTGTGTGTGTGTGTGTGTGTGTGTGGGGGTGTGGGGGGTGAGGGGTGGTGGGTGGGAGGGAGGGAGCACCGACCAGCTGCAGCTGCTTGTGCACGTGCTGCACGATGAGCTGTATGGCGACCTTGTTCTCTCCGCCGCGCGGCACGATGATGTCCGCGTGCGCCATGCACGGCGCTATGTAGTTCTGGTAGGCGGGCTTCACGTACGTCATGTACTGCTTCAGCACGCCCTCCAGGTCGCGCCCGCGCTGCACTATGTCACTGAGTACACACAAACATACTGTTTCACAAATATAACCGGAGGCATGTCGCTGAGAATGTAAACAATCGAGTTATGTTACCGTCTGAGCCTCCTGGCGAGACGTATGTCAGCGTCGGTGTCGACGAACACCTTCATGTCCAACATTCGCACCACGTCCGCGTTGTAGAACGCCAGGATACCCTCGAATATTATCACGTTCGCGCCGTACATCGTTTTCTATACACACAACACAACCATTGTACACTTTTACTACCGTGCTTTGGTCTACATTCCTCTCTCTAAATAAACATTAAGGTATATTCTTAGTGTAGATTTAAGTAACGTCCAATTAAGAGAAAATTAAATACAGTAAGATTTCACTATTCAAAAATCGAGGATTCCTCGTATGTGGCATAGCAATTTACAACAGAGAAATTACGTTCCAAGATTTGGAAGATAAGTGAATTTAAGATATTATAAAAATATTCAGTTTTTTTAAATAATGATAGACATATTTTGGCGACTAAGTGAAGAAGTAGGTATATCTCACAGTGCGGCTCTCCCTGGAGTGCGTGACGTAGTTGTATATGGGCACTTCGACCTTCTTGCCCTCCCGCAGCCGCTGCAGCACCTTCACCAGCAGCTCCATATCGAACGCGTCCGGATGGTCGAAGTTGTACTCGTTGCGTTCCGCGGCCACGTGCTGCTTCTCATTCAACACCTACAAACAACTACCTCTGTTTCAATCATTACCACATAATGCAAAAGTCAACTATCATGCTTCGTTCCGATTAAAACGCGCCTTTTTGATTTTACGTGACAGTTAAGATGACGACAGAGTTGGAGATGAGATATGAAGACTAATATTTGTTACTTACTTTGTAAAAGGAGTCCATACTGACAATAGTGACCCATGGTATATTAAGAGATTCAATAATTTTGGCGGCAACTGTAGTTTTTCCTGACGCACTAGCGCCACAGATACCTGGAATACAAAACAAACATTATTTAATGTTGGGTGAAGATAGGTTATCTTCTGTGAGGTCATGTTTGAGGTTACCTAGAAGGTTCTGCCATGTGCCAGTGTTTGAAGTTATGGAAGGTTATGCCATGTGAGGCCCTGTCTTAGGTTTTCTCATGTGAGGTTCTATTTTATCAGGCTATGTGAGGTCACGTGAGGTTACCTATGAGGAAGGGCTCGACCTCCTGGCCGCCCGTACAGTTGTACCAGGGCGGGCGGCCGGCGGTGTAGATGGTGCGTCTGTCGGCGTGCAGTATGCTCTCCGCCGCGGTACGCTTTGTCGACTGCGACATCGACGCGGTGCGCACGCGGCGTGCACGCGGTGACTTCGCTATGTTAGAACCTGAGGGATGTCGAACATTATTCCTAGTACTTAATACCAAAATTTAATCTGTTATGTACCTGCAAAATTGTAGATAAGTTCCTGTTTACGCAGTATTTTTTGCATTGTCATTTCTTGTTTATTAGATAAAGTTATAAATAAAATCTTTAGTCACTACTGTATATAGGAGAATACTATTTAGCAAAGTATATATAAAAAGTTCTAAGAAACTACAAAGATATGTGTACGATTTCTGACAATGAGATTCGCAGAAACGTTTGAACATGTGATGACGTCACACCGAACTTGGCGAGTTTTTAAGAATCACTACTAAGAAAACTAAATATATTGTTTTCACAATTTCCTATGTATTACTCGTCGTCTAACTAAAAAAAAATGCTAAATGAATTCCTAATTGTTGAAAAAGTAATAGCAAGAAACAATTGGACTGTATTTTTTAAGTATGTGCGTATTTGCAACAAGAAAAAAAAATAACTGAAAACACTTTAATAAAACATACCTTAAAAATCTTCCTAACAAATAAAAAAAAACCGATTTGTTAGTTACTAAACTAAAGAGCAATATAACTGGCCATTACAAAGCATTAGTGGTACTAAAAAAAGAAAAGTGTTCGAATTTTAAATTTGCAAAACAACTATTTCTTGGTGCCACACTCACGAGGAAACTGCAGTTACAATAACTGTCCAAGTGTTAAAAGTAACTAAGTACTATCCGCACAGCTCTTAGTAACTAAGTGAAGGTTCATTATTCAATAGATATTCTAAATATTTTATAAGCGCATACTTTAAGGTTTCTCTTTATAGAAGCCAATGAATGCAACATTAATTAAAGAAAATCTAATAAATTAACATAAATAGGGTCAAATTGTTTACGCAAATTTAACACGTTCAGTGCTACCGATACGTATTACGAGTACACATTCATAGGATAGTGGCATTGAACGTGTTAAATTTTTATGGCAATTTATCTTTTTTTATAATATGTGTAATAAAATATACCTTCAATAAATGATAAAAAAATAATGCAACATTTTAAAGACGCTAAATTTAGTGATTAAATAACTAAAAACAATTAAAGAGGTTTAAATCTCGTAATTAGTAATGTGAGAGTGAAACAAAAAATATTTTCAAACGATATAACCTAAAAGTTACAAAATATAAAATCTTAAGTGTTGGTGATATCTAGCGTAAATTATATTTAAAAAAAAACTTCTTACTCACTTATAACTATTCCGGCGGGAGAAACGACAACTGCATATTTAAATTTAGAATAAGCAAAGCTGTCAAATAAACTAAAAGGCGCGGAAAGTTACACTTTTTTTGTCGCAATTTTACAATGGACGAGTGAATTCGTGTCGATAATTCAAATCGTATCGAATACATTTAGAGGCCGAAGTCCATTTAAATACGAAGGCTGCAAGTGAGAATTGATAGAAAAGAATTAAAAACACGATTAGTTACATTTTAATATACAGAAATTTCTTCAAAATTGACGCATAAAAAGTGTAACTTTTATGCTAAGCGTCCACATGTCAGTATCGGACGCATCGCATCATACGGATTTTAATATTCATAGACAAGTGCGATGTGTGCCGATGACGTCATAAGGAATGCCGAACGGTTGACGCGTCCGCGCGCTCTCCATGTCCCGCCGCGGTACGTTCGATTTGTTCTTCGCTTTCCTTCATTATTAGTATATATGTACGTTTAGTTAGAAAATCCGAACGAAAATGACATCGGCAATCCGATTACTGCCGTCCACTGCGGACACAGTAAGATAAAATAATCCGTACAATGCGATGCGTCTGATAGCGACATGTGTAAGCTTAGCATTATTAATAACATTGACTTTGATACAGACATATAAAAAGCAGCTCTTGTTGACACTACAAGGTTGATTCATTGATAGAGAAAGGCACTAGGAAATATATCCATTTATTTCCGTGACAAATCAAAGCTTGGAATACTTGATACAAAAATGAACTCGAAAGTAATACAGTACTTTTATAATAACATGTTATAGCAAAGTTTATGGAATATCAAAATATTTCTTAAATCATAATAGTAATTTATAAATATTCAGATTTTTTTCAAATAATTTTAGACATAATTGATTTTTATGAATACCTGTCGAAGGTGGACGGTAAGACCGGACATTTGGCACTGTTGTGGGTGAGGCAGGGGCACGGGAGTAGTCCTCTTCATCTAGGAACACTTGCTCACTCAGCTCTAATGCCAGCTCCGTGTCACTGCAACAATATGTTACAGTTAATCTCCATTGTAACACCCAGTGAGTAATGAGTCAGGATTGTTAGTTCTATCAGAAAATTTGCAGAACCTATTTATGCATGGATATGAAGGTGACAAAAATCTCATGAAACTTTTAAGACATTAGTTATTGTCATCGCTGTCATTATCTTATACAAAATAGAGATAATAGTATGTTTTAATTGACAATTTTGGTCTCAGAAACCCACGGTTAAAGTGGGACACTACACTTATGTAATTTAGTTTCACTCATGCCCACTAGCTTGAATGATGTCAACAGGTATTTATCAAACATGTTAACAAAAAAAAAATTAAAGATTGTAACATAAAAGAGAAATTGCTATAATTATTCAGTCAAGGATATATGAGGCTGTTGTTTGTGATATGTCACTAACATTTGGTGTCAAGGTTTGTTAATACTTCTCCTTGTCTTATTCACCGTGTGGCAAAAATCTTGTTATACAAAAAGTGAAATCTTAATTTATATGACTAATTGATATTTTCTTAAATAGATTTTATTAATAACTACCTGTCGCCCTACAACTTCATTTGCACAGAATTAAAAAAAATAGTAGCCTATGGTGTTCTTTTAGATTTTACTCTACACCTATACCATATTTCACCAAGATCCAATAAGCTACTATGGAGATACCTTCTAACAAACATCCATCCATCTAAACATTGGCATTTATAATATAAGTAATAAGATTAAATATATTGTGCTTTGAATTTTTAGATTTAAACTTTCTAGATTCAATCATTAGAGAAAATAATGTTATCAAATTTTTCAAAACACTAATTACTTTCAATATCATTGTCTCCATAGCCTAGCATAGCATTATCCCTTGGGTTCACTCACTCAATGGAGTTTGGTTGCATTGAGTAATAAATTTATGTTAGGCTAACTAAAACAATTAAAAGAATTTCTTCAAATATAAGATTTTTAACCACCGTTAGTCACAAAATCACATGATAATATTTAAATCAGAATTTTTATGTTTCACAATCTTTTAATTTATCAATCTTTTAACACTCATCAATACATGAAATTGCTATTATTGTACTTGACATAATCATAAGATTATCTTATCTATGTGGATTAGGATAGTGAACCTTTTTGATACTCTTTTAGAAACTATAGTTTAACCAGGACAATTGAAAGCCTGCCTTCATTACATCACCTGCTATATGCAGACTTTAATTATATATATTTCTGCAATATTATGTGGTGTTTTATATTACTGGTCATACTATAATAATAAAGTTTAACAATTGTTAATATGGTAGGATAGCAATCTACCAATGGACATTTCTTAAATTTTGCAGATGAATTTTATTGATATTTCTTCTTTTTCTTTTTATTACTAGTGGACTCCATTGTTTAATTTCGATGAAAGTATTGGTATTTATTACATAAAATCTTTTTACTTCTTTTAATAATTGTGACTAATTTTCAAGACAATTAAAAATAGAAGACTATTAGAATAATTGTTATGCATTTACATTGAAATGTGCAGATTTTATTGTGTGATGTAACATTAATTAGAAATGGAAAGTATGTTTTATCAACTCTAGTGTTTTATCGGGTAGTTAAGATCCAGTGTTGAATTTAGGCCTTCCTTATGTCTGACTACAGATTCCTACTTATCAGTTAGTTGGGTTAATGCTTCTAATATTAATTTGTTTTTTAAATGTGCATAATGACTGAATATATATTTACATATTATGAAAAACATCAAATTTTCAGACAAATCTTTTGCAGTTTCTATACATTACATTGAAATATCAATATTTTAGTAAATTGCTCAAAAAACAATAGCCTTTGTTTTTTTAATGTTTTGATTTTTATCACTGTGTTGTATTTTCTATATGATTTTATCATATCAGTTTGTCTGTGCCTTGTTATTTCTTATCTGTACAAGGTCAAATTTACTACATTGTTATGTACTTTGCAAAATTTGTTTAAACATCGCATTTCTGTGATAATATGATATTATTCCAAGTTGAATATTATTTGTTTATTATATTTATGACTAATTCTGTGGTTTTGTGCAGTAAATACAACATTTATGTAAAAGACGTAACCAAAAATTTGGAAAACTCTTACGGATTCGGGATGATCAATGAAGCAGCCTCCATGGTTATTAATTTTTTGACTTCTTAAATTTGATCTAGTTGTTTATAAGATCACGGAGGTTTAGGAGCACGTGTTTTATTCACAGCGTCAGCAAGCCGTCAATGTACTAAATTAATGTCTAAAAATAAATCACAAATCACAATGCATGGATGAGGTTATATTTTCAGGTGGTGTTACGCTTTAGCGTTGGGAAATGCAAAGTTTTTATAATGCACTGATACACTCCGTATATGTACACCGGACGTACGGTACGAAGAACATGCTCATACTGATTAAGAATGTCCTTTAAACAAAATTTTGTTGACACTAACCAGCTGTACAAACAAACATTACATTTAGATTAGCACACACGAATTACCTATCGGAACTCGCGGAGCTGGGAGTTTCAAACTTATTCAGCTTCCCAGCCATCACAGATGAATGCGGAAAAATGAATCACGATTGAACAATATGAAACTTTACAATACGACAACGTGAAAACGTGAAATTTTGAAAGTTCACGGCTGAAAGCACACGCAGTATAAATTTTTTGACGTTTATTCGTTCGGAAATCGAATCACGTGCATTTTCGGTTTTGTAATTTTCTTTTTATTAATAAAATCAAGCTTTATTGTTGTAAAACACAGAAAATTATTTTAAGGAATATTGATCGAGAATTTACTTCAATAAGACGATGCAAGGAAAATGAAAAGGTGTCAAACGTCATAATCAGTTTCTGAACGTACGACATTTGAAGTATCCCAAGTTATATTTTATTTGTACCATTTTTGTTTTTTAACTTTGAAATAAAATTTATTAAAAACAACAAAAACGTGTTAAGTTTTCCAAACACATTTTATCACTGTATAGATTAACATTGTGCCTAATTCGTATATTGCAATGTAACGTAACAACATTTTTACTAGCGTTTGAAGCATTGTATTTTTTCGCTTAATTTTTTGAAGAGTTCGTACTATTACTATACATACTGTTTGACGTTCATTTCATTACTTTAAAGCAACCTCTTTACTACCTGTTCAGTTAAAAACTTTTAACCAAATCGTTGGACTAAGACGGTCCTCTAGAGGCTCTACTCAGTGTCCTTATGCCACCTTGATTTGTGCATCTTGTGGTGGTCTACATAATTCCTCCCCATTTCCGTGTTTCGGTGATACAGAAACATCACAATAATACTTTTCAGGCGTTTACACATCTTGAGGTTACGTAACATAAATGGTTTTTATTTTAACCGAGCAATTTATTATTGTTAAATCCAATATTACCACAACCATTTATTTTTACTTGCAACACCGACGACGTGCTCGATTGTAATGACAGCGCGCGCAACTTGAATGCTAAATAGGTTATTTTTCGCGCCGAAAGTTTTATGTGAATTTCCAATTTATCACAGATTGAATGTCGCTTTATTGGCTCTCAATTTTGATTACGCGTCGTGTCACGTTTGCGAATTTGGTTTGAAATTCTGATGAAAAAAATGTTTTTATTTTGTTTTTAATAAGCAATAAGTGAAAAATTGGCTTGTGCGACGTTTACTACGTTTTTTAAATGTATGTAACAAGATTTAAATTTTAATACACCGCTATTATTAGACTAATAACTGCCGCACTCAGAGTATCTAATTGTTCGCTAAGGGATCTCCTTAGTAACCAACTATTCATTACCAATTCCACGCTGACGAAGTCTCGGACGAGCGCTCCTATTTAATAAATTGTAACTGTCCAGTGGACGAGATTGTAGGTATGAATATATTAATAAGCCGAGTCGATGGTCGCCCGAGGAACTTTGTCCATAACATGCAAATGGTCAAAGTTTCGGCTAATTGTTCTCCAGCTTTGAACTTTCAACAAGTTAGTAAAGCAAAGTACGGCAAAGTTTCATTAATTAAAAAATAACTAAACATAACTTGCTTGTGCAATGTGTTATGTGTCTCTCTCATTGTTTTTGAAGAAAAGTTTAGTCGTGTCTATGCATAGTTTTACGCACGTAATTTACATGTAATAAACACGTTTAACGCACTTTTTGAAATTAATAAATATTTTTTTAATCACATGGCTTTTTCTTAGCTGTAATTTTGTTAATTAAATAAAATAAAATTGGTATTTAATATTCTATTATAATATATTGAGAAAAATGAAAAATAAAGGTTTGAAAAGACAATGTAAGCCAGTCCCCATTTTGTTTTTGTAGCGCCATTTTGGATTAATGTTCTCAGTTGGGAAAGGAGAATGGAATCAGGAAGCGCGGGATTGGCTCACGTGATCAGAATACACAGAGTAAAAAGAACGATCCCGGAAAAATACAATTTACATAAGAATTTCAACTTACAACCCACTGACTAGGATAATAGTGGATTCTGTGGTTTGCACAAAATACATTTGTTTGCTTTCCTTTAAAACAAAAGAGGTTGATAGAAAACTGAATTTTTTCATTTACATTGTACTGTCTGTTTGAAATGCATATGGTTACAATTTTCTTAAAGAAATGTTTATTGGAGTCATAGTAAAATAATTTTGACTATATTCCACATTTTTATCGTAGTTCATAATGAATTTTGCGATCAGTGACGTACTCAAAATATTACGCTGCGTGCCATAGATTCGTAATCTCTGGAATACAGGGACAAATTTATTTGACAATGTTTCCAATAGTGAAAGTAAATACACGAAACAGCATGTGATTTTTCTTATAAATATTAACTGTAGTACAAACTATTATTTAACATAATTTAAATTGAAAGTTGTTTAATGTATAGCTCGACAAGAGAAATGCAGCGCGACGTCGCTGAAGGAAATTAAATTATTTTCCATTTCATGTCACGTCGCGCGTCTGTGTAACTTCCTTACTAACACTTTGTAGATTGCAAAAGCCTCAGCTCAGCATTCTGATTGTAAGAAAACACATCATAATAGTATCTGTGGCGTACGATAAGAAATATTTTGCATTAATTACTATTGTACAAAATTATTTGCTATGTCAATTTATAACCTTAAATTCATCTTTTTTTTCTGGTCCTAGTCCTATAGATTTTACCACAAACCTTTACCATTTATGAAAAATACCGTTTACCATATAATCTTATTTTCCTATTGCTATTTTTTATCTGGAAAATCTTATTTCTTACCTCACTTCTTACTAATATTATAAATGCGTAAGTTTAGGCTGATTGATGGATGTTTGTTTAAACGTATTAGGTAGTAGATTAGGTATTAAAAACGACTCAAAAGATTTTGATGAAATTTGGCGTACATTAAGAATATAGTCTGGAAGATGATACTACTGGCAACTTTTTGCAGGACGGAGTTGCTGGCGGTAGATAGTATATACTTCTCTTTTGTACAACGAAGTTAATAAATAAAAATAACCTCAAACATCGAAGATAGATTGAAAACGGGTTTTTATCGCTACCACTAAATATTAATATACATAATTAATGTAAAACATTCTGTTTAAAATGTGCTTGTGGCGGTTGAATATTTAATATGAGACAAAAAGTCAAAAAGCTACAAGTTGCGTTGACTTGGGGGTAAGTTGGCTCATAACATGCAAATGGCTAAAGTTTGAGATCGCCCGGGGCGCGCCGACCGCCTGGACATGCTTGATTAAAGACATTTCGCATGTCTACACTTATATTTAATATTAAAGGTTTGTAATTAGAATTTTTTATCAGTTCCTTTGAGAGGTTTTTTGTATGTTTTTTTTAATTTTATGACCTGGTAACACAGACCTTTACGTCAAATGTTTTTTGTAAAAAAATATTTATCATAGAACATTTAGTTAATCTACATTTTTTTTTGTCATAGAGTAAAAGTTCATTTGCACTTTATTAAAATAGATTTGACATCATTCGATAATTTCCTTACCTTAATTGAAAAGAATAAAAGTTATTCAAATTACTAATTTCAGAACGATTTTATTATCTCCTTTGAATATTTTAAAGTAATCTGCTGCATATTCAAATGCCTCCGTGGTTTTTGAACGAATAGTTTTTTCAATCGGAGCGTTCACATTAACTCTGGTAATATTTCAAAGCGATTTCTAAAGACAGGCCGCAGACAGACGGATTTCCGCACGGAGAAAGCGACTTCAGCTGTGTATGGCCATGAAAACAAAGGCTTCTGATAATTAAAATACAAGCTCTTTGGTATAGTTGTGAATTTCTGTTTAATTGCACCATGTGCTTGATTGTTGATGTCTCTCTGATTTTAGAAAGTTAACCGTGGGTTTCTGAACTCCAAACTCTGATAACATTTCAGTTTAAAACATATTGTTATCTCTGTTTTATCAAAGATAATGACAGTAATGACGATATGTTTGATACAGAGTTTTTGGTCTCAGAAACCATCGGTAAATTGTACATTTGTCAGTTAATTTTAAAGATATTTAGCTTCACTTTTGCGTCTTTAAACAAAATAGTGAAATAAAATCACGAATAGTATAATATTTAGTTTATTGCGACGCTTGTTTAATGGCCCTCAACAAATCAAGAGATTTATTGTGATAGAAAGGGATACATCACTGAAATTCATCTTGGCGTTGGAGCGCGGCTATAAGGAGGTCTATTTTAAATTTTATTTCAATTTCAATATATCTTTGCGGAATCTGAGTCGTCGGGCAAAGCTTTAGATTTATATGTTGCGACATTTAATATGTACGAGATTTTTAAACACAACTGACTTTAAATAACTTTTCTCTTGTTCTCATATATTGTAGGTTACTTGATGTTTTGGAGGCTTTTAGCTTAAATTCACATCCATGTTTAGTAACAGTCGTGCGCTTTAAAAATTTTTTTGACTCGAACTTTTGCAACTTTTCTTTTTAAATAATTTTTCCTTACATGTATAGGTATTAATTCTATTTATGCATATACTAGCTGTCGCCTGTCACTCTGTCCGCGCAAAATTAAAAAGAAACATAATTAGTATCCTATATGTGTTCTTCTACACTATTTTCTACATCTACGTCAAATTTCAGTGATATCCATGCAGCCGTCCTGTTCATCCAAACACTCGCATTTATAATATTAGTAAGATGAATTATTTTATACCATATTGTTAAATTTCATATAGTTATAGTTATCGACGCAGGCTTCTGCTAATAAAAAGCAGTTAATTGTATAATTAAATTAGGTACACCCTGAACTAGCTCCCTCTCGTAAGAAGCGATTTAATTATTAGGGATCAACTGGGGAATGTAATTATTATTTTGGGACAAACAGAGGGCACTTTTGCTCTAGGGGGTTGCGAGACGCACACTCAGCTATTGCCAAATTAATCAGTGCAACTATTTGTTCTCGATCGAAAAATAAAAAAATATCTACAGTTTTTATTTTTCAATGTTTCATAAAATTAAATA